CGTGTTTCTCCCCTGCAGAAGCCCCCTGCCCCGAGAGCTACCGGCCAGCGGGGGAACCTCGAGCCTTTGGCTCCAGCGCCAACGGGCAGTGGAGGGGCTTGGTTCCCCCTCTGGGCTCCGTGCCGCAGAAGCCGAGGGTGAGCCGAGGCTCTTACCTTGAAGCTCGCAAAAACCCCAGGTGCGTACGGCCCCCCTCCGCGTTCGGCCTTCCCCGCAGAGCCCGGTGGGAGCTTCGTGGGGGGGGGTTTTACCCGCACGAACCGTTGGTGTCAATACAGAGTGAATTCGGGGTGGGGATAGGTGCGTGGGTCCAGGCTGGCTGGGTCTGTAGGTGCCTTTCGGTGTTTTATAAACCTCCCTGCGGCAAAGATGCTTCGCAGAGGGCGGGAGCGCTGGTTTTGAGGGGGTACGGCCTGGCGTGACCTGCCCCTCACGGAAGCCAGTGGCGTAACGGGTCGGTTTTGAGTGCTGGGGTGAGAACGGGAACATCGTTACGCCGCTGGGAAATCGGGGGAGGAGGAGTACGTCGTCGTTTTGTGATGAAAACGTGCTGGTTGGTGCACGTGGCGCTGGGTGCAGGAGATATTTTTGCAGCTGGTATAAACCCGTGTTGCTTCAGGTCTTTCCAGGCCGGGTTAAGTCTTTATCGCTCCTGAAAATCCCCGCGGTGGCCAACGTTTGATTGCAAATAGGGAAAATTAATTTCAAGGGGAGGAATGCCAAGTCGGCCCGTGTATTTTTTCATGGGAGCGGGGAGAAGCAGGGCGAGGGAGGGTATCTGCTGTTACCGATAAATAATAACGCCGAGAGCGGTGTCTCCAGGCGAGGTTCAGCCATTTTGTGGTGCGGGGATGGAAGCGGGAGCTGATGGATCTGGCGGGAAGGTCTGGCCAGGGGTTTCCAGGCTGTGGCTCCTCGGCCTCGCAGTGCCACCTGGTGGCATCTGCTCGGCCGCACAGGCCTCGGGAGCGGTTTCGGATCAAGCTGGTGGCGAGAGCCAGCCTTCAGCTTTGAGACGGTTCTTAAAACACGCATAAAATACCGATTTCTGACCACAATTGGGTAGCCTTGCTCTTGGCCTGTATCAGAAACGGTGTGGCCAGCAGGAGCAGGGCAGTGATCGTGCCCCTGTGCTCGGCCCTGGTGAGGCCGCACCTCGAATACTGTGTTCAGTTTTGGGCCCCTCACTACAAGAAGGACGTCGAGGTGCTGGAGCGTGTCCAGAGAAGGGCAACGAG